ACCTTAATCTAAGGGCAAATTCTAAAAAAAAACTAATTAAATCAAATAACTATAAATATAAAGTAGTCATGCATTTTAAATGTCAAACAAACAATTAGATAAATTAAATACAAGAAAGAAATAAACAAACAAACATATATTTTAATCAAAATCTAACAAATTAAATATAAGGGACTAGATTGAATTGATAATAAATTATAGGGATTAAAAATTGAACATGTAATTAAAAATGGACCGAATTAAAATAAAATAAGAATTGAGCATGCAAAATAGCAAATAAACCTAGGACCTAAATGCAAAATAGCAAATAAACCTAGGACCTAAATGAAAAAACATGCCTAAACTAGGGGACATGAACGCAAATATACCAACAATACATAACATGAATAAAAAAAAGGAGGAAATAATGAAATTAATGCAATTAAAAGGGGTAAATAATAGATTTGGTCCTCGCAGGTGACCAAAATGTAAATTAACGCTAAACTATGGGGACCTAAGACAAATTAACCTTAAAGTCTCAGTGGCTAAAGAGTAATTAATCCAAAACCCTTTATATTTAAACCAAATATTATTCCAAGCCTAAAGCTAAACCTAAATTACCTAAACCTATCGCCTCTTTTGTATCTCACACTCCTCTCAATTTTCCCTCTCTCGTCTCAACATCTCTCTTGTGGTCGAGCAACTATTAACGCCGCCGCTGGCCACCGAATCTGGTAGCCCCCTTCACTTCGATCACCCGAAAACGACATAAACCAGGCCCTTACCACCAAAAACTCCTCATTTTTTTTAAAACAAGACATGCTGAAAATGAGAACATCGTGGACCCACAGTTCCTCCTCATCTTCTTTGCCTCCACGACAACCTTTTTCCACTGCGAACCCATACCGACCCTACTTCTCTCACGGCCATATTCAACTCTGCATGTAAGCTGATAACTCCGTAAAAAGGCTATGTTTTCTGTATTTTTACTTAAGTTATTGAGTGTCTAAAAACCATTGATTTAGCATTTTAGCTGGATTTAGTTGCATTTAGGACATATTTGCATGTGGTGGTTAAGTTTTGCCAAGGCAAAGTTTATTTGACTAATCTGATGCTGCTCAGGAGAAAGGTTGTTTGCAATAAATGACTAAGGAATAATTCATTTGCCGAGACAAATTAATTTGCTAAGCAAAGTGGAGCATAAGAAGATGACTGTGAGGAATAAATTTTCATGCCAATGCGAGTTTTATCTTACAAGTCTGACGCAACACAAGACGAAACTGGTAATATCACTTGGCCAGCTGTCCAATCTACCTCACGTGCAATCATGCCCTCATCAAGGATTTTGAGACCACTGCAAGCTGCTATATTATTTACAAAATGGGTATTACATCAAGGGTATTTAGGGAATTTCCAAAGGCATTAAACCCTAGAAATTCCCACTATAAATATCCCATTATATCTCTTCATAAAAAGGGGGATTGAAGAGAATATACCCTGAAAGGAGGCTTAGAGTAAGCGATTGTAATAATTCACTTTTCTACCGTCCCCACTCGACCGTCCTTGGTTCCCTCCATACTCGGGCTTTGTTGGAGCGGCGGTCAGGCCCTCCAGAGAGGTTGGTCGTTAGAGCAGTCATGGTGGTGGTTTAAATGTCACGGCAAAGCTCTATTTTTGGAGTTTTTCTTCCTTTTGTTCTTCATTTCCATATCATTTAAGGGCTTGTACGTAAGATTAAGTTTTGGGATGATATTTACCACACCATAAACTATTTTATTTGATGTTGGATGATGCTTTGATGATACTTTATTCGATTGTTACTGAATGATGAAGTTTATTTATGCTAAGTGTTGTTTTGTTCATTGTTTTAATCTTTTGTCTTGACACTGTAAGAGCTTTTGAGAGATTGTCTGGTGCCACAAAAAAGCATTCCTCATCCTCCAATCTCATGGTTCACCGTCCGATGAGCCTAAAGCTGAACTATGTTAGCAGACTCGTTATTCTCCAATGGTCCACCGTTCGGATTGGTCGTCCATCCACCAGAGCTATGCCACGTCAGTCTGTCCTTTAAATTTTTAACGACGATACTATAATGAAATACAAATTAAACTTAGGTATGGTTTTAAAAAAAATAAAAATCTAGGTACTAAAACTGATAGTTTAAATATTGAATACGTTGAAAATAATTATTATCAGATATACTTTCAATATAAACATAATTCATAAGAAATAATAAAACAATGAAAAGTATTCTTTTATTTATTTTAAAAAAGTAAAAATAAATACAAAATATTAAACATAAATTTTATTTTATCGAGTGGGAAAAAAACTTATTTCACTCGCAGTACAAAATTCAAAATATATTTTTTAGATTATTTAGCTTTAATTAAAGATTGGGTGTCCAGACCCAAAAGATTGTCCAAAACCATAACCAATCAAACTTGCCCAAAGACTTGTGAGCTGGGCAAGTAGGCTATTCATGATATTTTATAGTCAAATTATGAGTTTTATAGATTTATAATTTTTCAATTTGAACCCTATAATATTATTTTGTATATCTTATTAGTTTATAAGCCATACCTCATTATTTTGTATAATACCCTCTTGACCGTCCGAATCTTTAATTAGATCTTTGGTTCTTCAAATTGATTAGTGATTGAGTTTCTCACAATTATCTTCCTTAGGTTTGGTATTTAATTAGAAGTTGATTAATAAATGGAGAAATGATTTCAGCTAATTTAGTTCAGTCTCTAATTTTAAATTGATGAACAAATCTGGGCTCTCATTTTTTTGTAAATTAAATTTGGTTCATAAACTAGGATCACAAACTGGTCTTAATCTTTAATTGATTTTAGTTTGACTCTAATTTAGGGTTCGTTTGTTAATGTTGTCTAAAAGCATTTTTGGTATAAAAGGTGGTTTTAAACCAACTGCAAAACCTAGATTTTCTAGCTTTTCCAGTTCAAATTTCCGTTTAGAAGCAAAATCATGTTTTTACCCTTACTGTGATGCACGAACTCCACTCCCTTGCATAGAAAATTTTAAAATTCAATTATTTTTAGAAATTATGTATTATTTATATACTAATTACATTTTGTCTAGAATTTTTTTCATTTATTTTTATTTTTATTATAATTGTACTTTTCATTTATATTTTTATAATTTAATTTGATATTAATATATATATTAAATATTAATTAATTTAAATTAAAATATTTTTAATTTACAATATAATGTCTAGAAAGACAGTTTAACTTATTAAAATATTTAATATATATATTAAATATTAATTTAGCACTGTTTTGCTGAATCAGTCAGCACTGAATCATTCAGAGGTGCGAAACAAATGCGCTTAATGTTGAACGGTTCAACATTCAGCGATGAATGGTTCCATTAAGAGACAAACAAACAGTCCCTTAGACTGCATACTCCTTTAGGCGCGGTTATGGACGAGCACGATTTTTCATACGTAATCTGCCTCCGAACTTAATTAAGATCGTAGTGTGGGCACAAACTAAAATTAAAAGTATTTGATTGTACCGAACAAAATACAGTCAATAACAACCCTAATCACGTAACGAATTCTTAAAAAATCCAACCAACTTAAATCATCGCAATACAGCTTCTATAAGGTTCGCCATTCAAGATCAATCGACGTAGAAATGGTAAATATGGACCAGCTTTCACCATCTCTACCCTACCATCATTTAATACCAATAGGACGAGGGGTGTTAGAATTTTTAATTAGATTGCTATTTTTACACTGCCAATGTTTGTTTTATAATTTATATTTAACTTTTATTATGAATAATACTAATGTTTTGGTCTTTTATCCTTTATCGTCCTTTGGTCTTTTATCCTGTATCCTTTGTTTTGCTATAAATAATTGTTGTATAAAATTTATACGACACAATTAATACAAAATTATATTCTCTCTAGATTTTACTTTTAAATGTCATTGTTTCTTATTAAATTTATGATTGTTTATTTTTATTTTTAAAGATTTAATTCAAATTTTCTAATTAAGAATATAATGTATGATCATTATTTATATTTTATTTTTAATCTGTGTGTGAGAGAGAGATGTAAAACATTTTGATTTTGACACGTTTTTCTCGGACCTCAAATGACATAAAGGGCACCTGCGATGTTGGCATCAACACCGTAAGGGACACCTACCCTCCTAAGTGAAGAAGAACTATTCCACCCAAATACCCTTCCTTAAATTACGCATAAAAAATGTGTTTTTGCAATTCATTTTAGATTAATTACTATACAAATCTTGGGATTGTTATTATTCTTTTTAGTTATTTGGTTCGAACATCAAGAATGTCAGGGATGTAAACGTTTAATATTAAATGATTAAGAATTATCTTTGAACATATACTACGTTATATTTATCCCAGATTAATCAAGAAAAATGTTGGATTGACCAACTCATCTTAATTTTACAAAAAAATAATAATTTGAAATGAATATTAAAAATTAAATTTACCACTTTTATGATAATGATAGTCGCCATGTTTAATTATAATAATTAGAAATGTACTTAAAGATTTTATGTTAAGGAAGAAAAATTATTAGATGGTCCCGACTCATCACGTTATCTGTAGTCCAAACCAATAATAATTTTCCATCTCTTTTTTTTCTAAGGTGAATCTTCACCTCAATCTTAATGTAAATAAATAGTGAATATTTATTTAGAAGTTATTTTAAAATTTGTGACTCTCATTCACTACGACCATGCAATAATTTCTCGTTAAGGAGGGAAATATAAATTTATATTAATATTTTATGAACAGATAACCGATAGAAACTAAAAATATATATCTAAAATATATAATTATTTAAAATTTTAAGAGGCAAATGTGTGCGACAGAATTTCAATTCTAACGCGTCTAATTCTTCAAAAATCATTAAATTAATAGGGCAAGGCAGGCGCAGATGGTCCCCTCTGGGGATCACAATAAAGACGAAAAGAAAAGGAGTGTTAAAATTATTGGAAGCTTGCGTTTCCCATTTGTCCTTTGCATCATCTCTGTTGAGGTGAAGCTGGAAATGAGCCATTGGTCGACAATCAAAACACTAATTTGCTCAACCGTCATATTTACTTAAATACCTCAAAAGAAGCTCTCCACAATCATTACAAGCTTGGGGTTCCCAAAAGTGTGGGAATGGGGTTCGTGGATCTGTTTGTGGTGGCACTGATGCCGGTCGTAGAAATTCTGCTGGTAACTGCCGTTGGATTGTTTCTTAGCATAGAAAAGATCAGCCTCTTGGGGCCTCAGGCATCCAACTACATGAACAAGGTACCTAAATGCATTTTCCTCCTAATAGCTTTACTGGGATTTCGGCCAAGTGTTTCGATTTATACCCCATTTAATATCAGTGTTGGATTCTGATCCTCTAATTTTTCCCGTAAACGAACCGAACGTTTGGAGAAAAGTTCATTTATGTCTGTTTATTTATGAAACAAACGAACATGAATAAAATTTTATGTTCGTTTAATTAAATGAACAAATTAAATTTAGTCTTTAACATTTTTTTAGTCAAATTACTTGATTCTAACTAAGAGTTTGTTTACTAAAGCTTTCTAAAAATACTTTTAGCTAAGAAATCCGTTTTGACCGCAAAATTAATACCACAATAGAAAAAAAATGTGGTGGAAACAGTGGTTTCAAACCAACTGCAAAAGCTAGGATTTCTAGCTTTTTTTATTTTCAACTTTACGTTTGGAAGCAAATTATAATTTTATGCTTACTAATACATTAACTCCACTCAATTATATATTTATATTTTATTTTAATAATTTTATACTAACATCCTTAAGAAATTATTACTTAATAATTTATTAATGAGTTATTATTTCGTAATATTCTTTTTGTCAAAACAAGTATTTAAAATATTATTTTGTAATAGTTTTATGTCCGGAAGTATTTTTTCGTAATATTTTATCTTAAATTTTTTTATATTTTTAATATAATTTATATTTATATATTTTATATATTATAATATTAATAAGTGTAAATATAATTTAAATTCTATATTTTAATATACAATATAACATTTACAATGATCTTTTTATCTTTTTAAACTCACTTTCTAATATTAATCCCAAACAGTTGAATTTTAAATTACTTTTGAAAATTACTTTTAAAATATAACTATCAATCTAAATTAGTCCTCAAACTTTTAAAATCTCATTTTCATCCCCAAACTATGATCTTCATTCTAAATTGGTCCCCAAACTTTTTTAACATTTCGATTTAATCCTAAATTATATGTATACATTAATCACATCCCTTGTTAAATAAACTCATTAGACCAAGTTATATTATTATATGTTTGAAAAAAAATAAACAAATTTAGGTTAAACTATGGTTGAAATGGATTACATATATGGATGAAATTAGGGATAAAATTGGAATATACAAAAGTTTAGGGACCAATTTAGAATGATATTCATAGTTTAGGGATGAAATTGGAATGTTAAAAAGTTTAAGGATGGATTTAGAATGAGAGTAATAGTTTTGGGAAGAAATTGGAAAGTTTAAAAGTTTAAAGACTAATTTGAAATGAGGGTCATTGTTTGGGGACATGATAAAACTAAATTTATTAAAATCAAAATTATACTTTATTAAGCATAATTGCACCAAATTAAATTTCACATCTCATCAAAATTTACATATAATTTTGAAATTAACCTCAACATTCATTCCGTATGGTTTTACGATCTCACCACTTGGCTCCTGATGTACAGATTGTATTCTATCTACTCAATCCTTGCCTTTTGGTCAGCAACTTGGCCAAGGCAATCACTTACAAAAGCTTGGTCACCTTGTAATAAACCCAATCCCATCCTTTATTCAGTTTCAAATGATTTCTTTCCTTCTTTCTTTTTTTTTGGCTAATTTGTTCAACATGTTTCTTGTTTGTTTGAAGATGGTTCATGCCCCTCAACGTTCTTCTAACATTTCTCATCGGCTCAGCCCTTGGTTGGATTCTCATAAAAATAACTAAAACTCCTAAGCACCTTCGAGGAACCCTCATCGGTTGTTGTTCCACAGGTTGTCTTCCTCCGAATATATCGTTTTAAATTCGTTATTATCGTACCTTCATCATAAAATGTTTTAATTTCTTTTGTTCAACATGTTTCTGATACGTTTTATGTGAAGGAAACTTGGGAAACTTTCCTCTCATTGTTATTCCGGCCTTATGTGAGGAGTCGGATAGTCCATTTTCGAGAGCATCTACTTGCTCTACGAACGCACAGGCTTATGCTTCACTCTCTATGGCCGTACGTATGATCTTGGATTCGAATAGTTTCGATCTTTGAATTTGTGGTTTTATAGCATTCTTGAATCTCCATTGTCCCCCTGAACTCTGCATTTGCAGATAACAGCCATTTATACTTGGTCATATACGTATCTTTTGATGAGTTCTTATGCTGTTACCACTACGGACCAAACCTCTATCCAGTCTTCTGAACAGGCTTCAGACAGTTGCACGGAGCCATTACTAATGCCGAGTTATAGCGACGGTTCAGAGAAACTCGAACTACCCCTCACTGATGTGCAGGGAATGGAAAAGGTGTCATTAATGGAGAAGATTGTCCATTGTGTTAAGAAGATGTTAGTGCCATCGGCTATCGGAGCGGTACGCTTTATGTTTATTAACGAAATCTGCATCAGTAGCTTAGCATGTGAACATCTTATCAACCGTGCCATTGTTATCCTTTTTCTCTCTTCAGATAATCGGGTTAATCATCGGAGGAGTCTCTCCGATCCGGAATGTACTAATAGGCAACGATGCCCCTCTCCGAGTAGTCGATAGTTCAGCAGCTCTGATAGGGCATGTTCTAGTCCACATCCCTCCTGATCCTAATGCAGGGAACTTCATATATGTTAAACACTAAAAGTGATTTGCAATTCCATGTGATTTACAGGCAGGCGGCCGTTCCAGTGATGACCTTGATAATGGGAGCAAACCTTTTAGAAGGTAGTTCCGATGCTCTAAATTCCGATTACGACACTTCTTATATGAATGGTGTTGATATCAACAGGTCTGAAAAGTTCGAAAATGAATGTATCGGCGATCTTAGGAGTGATAGCAGTTCGGAATGTTTGCTTGCCGCTGTCGGGGATCGGCGTAGTCAAAGCAGCAGAGAAGTTTGGGATAGTGGGATCAGATTCTTTATACCACTTTGTTCTTATGTTTCAGTACGCTGTTCCCCCTGCAATCAATGTCGGTAAGATGAGCATCGATTACATGGTCATGTATGTTTTTTCCTATGTTGATTTTGGACTGGGTGGTAATGTAATGAAGGGATTGTGTAGGTACAATCGCACAACTATTCAACAGTGGTCAAGCTGAAACATCCATCATTTTGTTCTGGACTTATGTTGTCGCTGCCATCTCTCTAACACTTTGGTCCACATTGTTCATGTCTCTTGTAACTTGATTTGTTGTCTTTATAATGTAACTTAGTAATTCAAAGGTGGATCTAGAAATTAAAGAATGTGAATTCAAAATTTTAATATTCTATTTTATAAAAAAATAGGTATGCAAATGTCTTTATTTTTTTTCATTCCCCTTAATAAATTAAATTAGATTTAACAAATTTTTTTTTCAAATAATGAGTATGTAATTGACCCCATCAAAATTACATACATCCGCCCGTACGCTTAGTATGGATCTATGGAGTGATTGTAGAGAAATGATCATCAGCTCAGTTGGTAGAGTACAAGGTTCTTAACCTTGAGGTTGTGGGATCGAGTCTCACGGAGGGCACATTTCATAATTCAGAGGTTTCTTACGGAAGTAGCCTACTATCTTACTTCCTTCTTATCCCATATATATGGGAAAAAGGGACAGTCATTTTTTATGGAAGCTGTTACCGTTTTGAAATCGTTTGATTCATGCACGTAGTAAACAACATATAAAATATGGAAATCATAATTCTTGTAATTTAAGACCATTGGTTTGCTTGAGAATGTGCGTAATTATCCGAGTTTGGAATAATAAGATGATATTCGTGAAACCGACGCCCACGGCCTCAATGTAAAGTTCAACAATTCACGTAAAGGATAATAATATCTTATTAGATCGCCTATATAACTAAAGTATACCTAATTTAAAAATAAAAGATCATGTTAGAGAATAACCTTTAATGTTTTTAAAACCGGACCGGACCTTGAACCGATGAAGGTACTGATTCATTGATTCAATCACGGTTCAATCGGATTTTATATAAAATAATATTTTTTTTAATTTTACATAATATTCAAAGTAATATTAATATATATATATAACACTTTTTTTAAGTTTACAATATTAAAAGGTATAAAAATATCACAAGTCATAACATATATAAGTTAAAAAAACATAAAATCAAGTGAAACAAAATGATTCAAATCGACTACAACATAATATTTAAGGTAAAACATATTAAATAATAAATATAATTATATAATTATAATCAAAAAATAAATTTGGGGCTGAAAAAAAATCATAACAAACGATGTCGTTTGGTTTAATTTTTTTAAAAAAACAATCTCACATGGCTAAGAAACATAGAAGAGCATCCCAAAAGTCTAAAGAGTAAAAATATGAGAACAACACAATCTCACATGTCTAAGAAACATAGAAGATCATCCCAACTGACTTCTATAAATACTAGAGGTAATTTGACATTCAAAATCATGGAGCCTTTTGGTGAGCACAGAGCGAACTATTCTTTCGCTTCAATTGAGCTCGAATTTCAGGCTTCAATCGAGCTTCTAAAATTGTTTTGAGTTCGAGCCTTTTCGAGTTCAAGTTTCAATTTCGAGTTCGAGTTGAACTTGATAATTTTTAGCTCGTGAGTTTTTGAGTCGAGTTAGCTTACTTTTAAAGTTTTTGAGTTCGAGTCGAGCTCAGCAGTACTCGAGTTCGACTCGACTTGTTTAACAAATGACGTCGTTTGGTTTATTTTTTTAAAGAAAAAAAGAGAACCGACGGTTCACACCGATTTTCAGTCGGTTCACCCCGGTTTTGCCGGTTCTACCGGTTCTTTACCGGTTTTGTGCTCATCTGGTTTTGGAAGTTAACTGGACCAGACAGACCATCGATTCACGGTTCAACAGGTCGAACCGGCCGGTCTGGTCCGATTTTAATAACAATGCTAAGTACACATTATATGAGAAATTTATGGTACAAATTAACGTACAAATAATGTTGTTAGTGGCATAAATCATATATGGCATTGTTTAAATAATTAAATTGGTTATGGTCTAGTTAGTTTGAATTTTGTATAGTTCATGAACCAAAATAGATATTAGGATTTTTTATTTATTTTAAATAATGGTTTTAAATTATTTTATTTAAATATTTTATAAAAGTATGAAAATATTAAAAATAATATTATACTAACAATAATTATGAAAATATTTATATAATATAAAATAATATTTTATTTACTAAAAACATTTATATATCATTATCTTAACTAATTTTAAGAATGTTGATATTAATGAACTTTGCTAATTAGTGAGTTTTGGGCGATATTTAAGATTAATCAGTATATTGTTTAACAATTACGTCGAATGAAGTTTCTTGAAGTGAAATTTTGGTATTGTTGGTAAAATGTTTTAATTACAAATGACGCTCAAAATTGTTAACACATCATTTTTTTTTATTTTTTTATTAATGATTATAAAATAGTATATGTTTTAAATATTTTTAAGAAAATTGTTAACACGTCATTTTCTTTTTTACTTTGCATTTCATTAGTCATTGTTTTTATTTATCTTTTTTTTCAGGGTTGGATTTAACATCGATGCAACTGATCAGGATTGTATTTTTTTGTTATCATGATGATCTTCCCTGCTTTGGACCCTCGAATTGATTTAGATACGCATTTTGCGTTCATGGATAGTTTTCTCACGTCGTTTTACTCTGATTTGCGATTTGTCGGTGGTCTTTCAATAACTTATTCACCTTTTGTGGTTCGTTTACCGATGCAGTAAGATTTGTTTGTATTTTTATTTTATTTAAGTTTTTTGATTAGGTTTTTTAACATTTTTCTTCTTTCGTTCTTATGTGATATACGTGGCTAGTTTTTGTCTCAATGATAATAGGAAAATGTCATAATTATATTTTAAGTTTATGATTATGCTTGTAAATTTCATTGCAATTTTAGATATTTCTATTTTTAATAAAACTAACGAATTTCTATAAAAAAAAATATCACAAGCCAACGGCAATTATTTTATTAATCATCGGTATTTTTCAATAGAAAAACGTTATGAGGAAAAGAATTTCTTCTCCCAAGTCATCTTTAAACACAAATATTACAAACAGGCCTCTTTATGAGTTGAGTAGTCTATCCGATTTAACGGATCCAGCCCGTTTAAATTATACTTTGAGCGAGAGTTTTCGGCCCATAAATTGTTAATATGCAATTATGAATTTAGGGGTGTGCAAAATAATCTGATCCGACCGATCTGATCTATTGATTCGATCCGAAAATTTAGATATCAGATCTATTTTTTGATTTCTGGATAATTCGGATTGAATATCTCAAAAAATTTGAATAATCGAATCATATACAAATCAGGTAAATTCTATTTTCGAATTATCCGAAAATCAGATTAAAACTGGGCCTTCAAAAGTAAGGGACTCAAGTGTTACAGATGCTGGGATTTATCACTATCTTTTGGGAGAACATTACTGGATATATCGGCACATTGCAAAAATTAGAACACAGCAAAGTAGTATATGAAAATCACAAGAAAATTATCAATGAAATCGAACAAGTTGACAAGCGTAAGTATATTATGTTTGGATCCGGATATTTGGATATCCGAAAGTTTAGATATCCGGTTTTTCTGGATTGGATACGGATCGCAGTTTTAGTGATCCGAATTTTTCGGATATCTGAAATTTCGGATCGGATACTATCCTATATATGAAAATGCATACCCCTAATTATGATGAGGGTAAATTATGTGTTTAGTATTTTAAACAATTGGTTTTGGTATGTTTAGTACCTAAACTTTTAATTTTTTTCAAAATCATATCTAATATTTAGTTTTTGTTTCATTTCAATACATGTTAAAAACTTAATGTTAAGTTTTGAAAAAAAATCAAATTTTAGGAACTAAAACGAACTAAAATTGATAGTTTAGGTACTAAACACATTAAGTTTGTAATAGAGGGATACTAAAATGAAACAAAAACTAAATGCTAAGTATTGTTTTGAAAAAAAATTAAAAGTTTAGATAATATAATGGATTAAAACTGATAATTTAAGTGCTAAACGCGTAATTTTCTCTTATGATTATAACATAATTCATTTGTATATGAAAAAAAGTGAGTATTTTACCATTTCAAAAAAGTATTATTTTTGTTTACAGTCATTCGTTCCCCCCCCCCTCCCTTTTTCATGCAAAACTTCTTACAACTTAAAAGCAAAAAAGAAAAACCAAATTTTTATTTAGGGTTAACTACATGATTGATCACTTATCTTTGAGTTTTATCCACTTTTGATCACTGATTTCAAAATATATAAGATATGGTCACTTACGTTTTTATTTAAACAATATTTGGTCACCCCAAGTTAACTGACGTTAACAACAATTAAATATTTTGATATATTCAAACATTTGGTCTATGTTATTTACATATTCTCTCTATTTAGTCATACTTTTAATAAATGAAAAAAATTATATATTTTTAAATAAAAATAAAAAATATATTTTTAAATAAAAATAAAAAATATATTTTTAAATTAAGTTAATAGTAAAATATATTTAATAAGTTAATATAAAAATATTTTAAGTTAATATATATAAAATTATATTATATATAATTCGGGTCATGGGTACCCGGTTCATTATTTTTTTCTATTTTTTCTTTAAATTATATTATTTTTAAAAAAAAAGGTATATAAAAATTCTAAAATTTAAAAGTCTATAATATATATAATCCACACGTAAAGTTTAAAAATTCAAATTACATAATTGAAATAAAATTTATTAAAAATTAAAATAAAGAAATATAATTAAATTTCAAATATTTTGAAGTTAAAATAAATATTTTAAAAAATAAATTAGAATGTTAATGTGAAATAGTTTAAAAAATTAAAAATTTAGAACGTTATGGTGTCAAATTTTAAGAAATTAGGATTTTAGAATGTTAGAGTGAAATAATTTGAGGATTATGTGTCGCGGCCGTCTTTTGGTTGGGCCCATGAATTGGGCTTCAACTTGATTAATTGGGTTGGAGTCGCCACCGATCATTTTAAAATGATATTTAGGTGGATCGAACACCATCTTACCTGATCTGCGTTGTACCAGAAAGTGTAGGGTTCGGGAGTCGGTTACGGTCAAGGAAAGATTAGCACCCTTGAACCGCCCTTTCGATACCAATTAATTTATCGGTTGTCTTTAATTGCGAAAAAATTAAAATTAAAATTAAAATTTAAAAATCTCGATTCAAATTATTTACCTTTGATTG